CAGCTCTTCATTCCATGAAAATCTTTTTCCCCGCAAAATTTTTTTCAAGTGTCTGAACAGAAAATAGTCACTAGGAGCCAGATCCAGGCTGTAGGGAGGATGGTTGAGCTCCTGAAAGCCACACTCCCTCACTGCTCCCTGAACTTTCCATGATTTGTGGACAGGCGCGTTGTCATGGAGAAGACGGACCCTCCTTGACAACTTTCCTCTGCGTTTTTCCTTGATGGCATCGTGTTTCATGCATTTCAGGCATTTTTCATGGTGGTAGCATAGGAATTCGCTACCACTTTGAACGGACTTGAGCCACTGAGCTGGTATAGTGGTGGGACACTCACGAGACCTGTCGAGACATGTCACAGCAGGCACAGGCCTGTTGCTCATCCCTTTCATATTCAGGTAGATAACTTATTGAGTGGCCCTCGTAACTGGACTCGTGACTGGGATCAGAGGCGTGGCCGTGCTTGAAGGACAGACACACAAGCACACTGAAATATAAGTAGTACAAATTTACCACCCTATCCGCTTCACTTCCCTTAGCAACCAATCTTCGGAATTTGTATAGTCTATCCGGTCCAACCTTGCTGCACTTTTAATCCTCAAAGGAGGGCATTAAATGTCATTTGTCGTCCTCTCCCCTTAGGAGAGAGGGCAACTTCCCTTTGGCCCCTCCGTCAGACAGTGGCGTGCCGCTTCTGGGTGGAGGGGGCAGGCATCACGTATGAATGATTCCAGAAATCTTGGCTAGACGCCTGACGAGTGCCAGGAACATCTAGGTCCGCCACCGGTAATCTCCGAGCCCCTTTCCAACGTTTTAACGAGCGGGTGACGGCACAAAATTAGTGAGCTACCATAAAACAGGCAATGCGGGCGTTGCAGTTGGACCGGGTAGACTATACATATTCTGCTTTCTTATATTGTCAGATTGCCGAACAACCAGATGAGACGTTTGTGGTAATGTCGATGTTATCGCAAAGAAACTTGCAATTCCCTTTTTCGCCATAAACGATTGATGGAGTGGGAGAGTGGGAGAGTGGGAGTGGGAGTGCAGTGGGAGAAAATCCTGCTGCGTGAATGATGAAAGGTGCTCTCGAAGACGACACTATGTCACCAAAAATATTGGAACAAGCCTCCCTCCGCCGACAACAGATAACAGAGGTAGAGGGCATTACTGTCGTCCAAAAGCAGGACAAATCTCGGAATTCCGCAACACTCGTGAAACTGGAGGGTAATTCCGTAACATATCACTTTCCCGCTGTATGCTTTTCCTGGAAGAACCTCAATCAGTACCCTATCTAGTTTAATGGATAGTGCCGCATTTACTATGACATCTCTGCGATCACAGCTCAGGAGTCAGGAGTCAGGAGAGTTCGGTTCATTTGCCTCGTGATGTTGTAGAGGTCCTTTTGGGTCAAAGGCATTGGCATCTATCCTGGAAAAATATGAAAAATTTTCCTCACTTTAGGTGCAGCTGGGTGCAGGAGATTTTGGGCTGATTTTCTTCTTCATTAATAGATTCTCATTGGCTTATAAGGAATTCTCTGAGAAATTTTGAGAAGTACTTCAAATTCACTCGATAAATTTGCCTTGTCATTAGAAATAGTTCATCAATCAACTACACAGGATCTAATAAATAACATGAGTTATGCATACACATCAGGAGTAAAACTGTACATACAACAAGCAAGACTCACTTTCAGGTACACCTTCAGATCGCACTTGATGAAAATAACAGCGACAAGAACGGTCGTATTACATAGCAAATTTTTGTCACAATTTGGCATCAAGTCTTTATATTTTAAGAAAAGTTCAAATCATTGACCTTTGCACCATGTAAAGGCTAATAAAGAACCAGAGGAAGGCCTGGAGAAATATCGATGCAGGACAAGGACTTCAATCCGTAACTTTTAACAAGAAAAAATTTTTTCTTCCTCCATTTTCAACATTTTATTTTTGTCCAAGAATTTTGGACTTTCATACCACTGTGAGCTGTTAAGCACATTAAGTGCAGAGTGAAAAGAACCTTCAAAGGGATTGTTCCTCTTACTCAAGGCTGCAGGTCCAAAGGTCAATGTTGCAGATAATGTGAAAAGAATTCCAGTTGCCTTTTGAAGGTGGCTTGCACAGTAAAGTTGTTGGAGACAATAAATAACAAATGTAAGGATTTTTAGAAGATAGACAGAAATATTTTCAGAAAAGATTTAGTAAACCTCAAAGAATTTAAAGGCATTTAATGTTTTTATGCCTGCATAGCAATGTATTTTCCAGTCAATGCATGTGTAGAGTTCATTGATGAATAATAAGCCATGAGGTGGAAGTGATACAACTCTCAGAAAGATAACATTCTTCAGGTAGGAAACTTAACTCATATTTGGAACTATCTTTAGGGAACACATTGACTTATTACCACATTCACTGCCATGTGTGACTTAAAAAAAAAAGCACTTTTTCAAACAGCAAAAGTAAATTTTCTGTTGAGCTGTGAGTAAAAATCAATCTCTACGTCACTTCTTCTTTGTCTCCTTGATGTTTCTCAATTTTTTTTTGTAGTATTTGGGCTATACCTGTTAAAGAATTTAAGAATTTGAGAGCTATTTTGAACAGATTTGTGAAAATGACTATAGCTGTCTTTGACAGTGAATGTGTTTAGAATTTCAAATTACTAGTGACCCNATGGATTTCTTGGGGATGCATTCCTCCATAAAGCCCTGCAATAACGTCTTGAACGCCCCCCACTGCTCCTCTACCGTCTGCCCACGGAGCCGCGACTCCCAGTCGATGCCTGAGACGCATTCACGTAGTCTCTCGAAATTAGCCTTCTTATAGTTGTACGAAACCTTCTTCGGTTTGGCCTTACTCTTCGTAGCTGTTTCATCTTCGCAGCTGTTTCATCTCAACTGGGCAAATAATGACGCGTGGACAATGGAAACAAGGTGCTCCTCCTCGCTGAATACCGTGCTCTACAGCAAGAGTCCGATAGTTCGACACGAGTCGAACATTATCTAAAATATATTTTAGGACTTATGGCAATGTAGATTGCACTTCCATTCAGTCCTTTGATAGTTTTAGGACCGAGTAAGAGGTGATCGACACGCATACCTCCGTAAGTATCGGCAATGCAGACGCTGTGGAATTGCCCGATCGGAAAACGAACCATTGGTGAATTCCGTAACTTCTTGCTGGATTGTTTCCTCTATTCTCCTGATGGCAAGGTTTTTTATTTCGCACTCTTATTGCTTGGTCTTCTGTCGCGCTTATGCAGGTCGCATCCGACTTCCTATTCGTAGTTATCTATAATTAGTTGGGATATTGCCATTTTCAAAGAAATGGGAAACCCCAAAGGTAAAACCAAAAAACACAGCAACAGCCTGAGGACGAAGGAAATAGCCAATAACAATCAGCAAGAAGGATATGACAAGCAATAAGTATTTGCAGGAAGATCAAGATGCGGCAATTAACGCCGCAAAGTCTGGCAGGATGGGCTTGCGTGGGACTGCAAAATGTATGGAGTGCCACGAACAACCATAAATGATAATAGAGGAGGGATGACAAATTATGTTTCAACATTGGAAATCGAGAATATGATAATTTCACTGTCTTGAAAAAAAATATCACCAGGATAACTTACGGCATACGTTAGAGGTCCTTCCCTTTTAAACATGCCTTGAGGCCCACACTTTCCATCGCCGAAAAAAAAAACCGAGAGGAAAGACAAAAGACGTCATTTACTTGTTAAGGGGAATCTCGGAGACGTACTTCTTCGCTTCGTTTGGTTGAGAAGTTGTTTGGTACTTCATACCTGAACCCCTGGTAAACCTGAACATGGGAAGAACTATTACACATCATTGTCAAAGTTAAGGGCCTGAAAACTAATAACTTCGCCCTCGAACGGCGAGGTGTGCACGGAAGAGTTGAGGGTTGCGGAATTCCCAGAATAGTGTTGCGGCTTTAGCAGAAGGGGTGCGGCATTAGCCGAATGCTCATCGGGAAGGATTATCGTGACGAAATCTAACCCTGGACATTCTAATAAGAGATATCCTTCCGTGCTTCCAGTCATCCGATTTGTCTTTTCCTCGAGTTTCATCGAAGGTAAAATACAACGTGGTCTTGAGCACACAAACGCCGTCAGCTCCAGTGAAACAAGGGAACACAGTTGGGATCCAAAGTTGTGGAATTCACATATTTGCCCTACATAGAAGTAATCTGCGATCTGTTATAGTCAGTGTTAGCCAGTATGGCGCGTGGATCAGAGGTGACGGAGTTTGAACCTGGAATGATGGTTGTCATATCGTTTCATTCGATTCATTCGAAACATCGTTTCATAAAAAAAAATTAGCTTTTCGGAGCTTCCAGGATTTCAATGTAAGATCCACTTAGACAATTCGACAGTGCGCTCGCTTATTCCGACATCTTTTGCAATTTTTCGCATTGAGTGCCTCGGATTTTGCCGAATTTTGCGTCGGATGATGTCTGTTTTGTGGAGCGTTTGCGGTCCTTGGTCTTACACTGCAAGGACGCTCTTGAGTATGGTTAAGTTCTTTATATCGTGCAATGGTTCTGTGCACCGTTTCCCAGTAAAAAATTATGTTTGGCTTAAGGTTGGGCTATAGATGGGGAAGTTGGCCGAAGGTCGGGCAATAATCGAGTTGGCCGCACATCAATGCCCCATCCATAGGCAACCCATGGGGTGGTATCTTCCTATAAAGGGTACCCAGCAGCTGCGACCTACTGACATGTGACCATGCACGAGCCGTTGATGTAATGGACAATGTTTTTCATTTGACTTCGACACTTCATGTCGAAGATCAATGATGACTGACTCAAGTGGAAAACACTGCAGCCGGAGATGCGGCCGGCCCCATGCCGAGCCGGAACCAAAGGCAAACGGAAGGAAAGGGGAAAGTCGCTAATCTTCTCTAATCCTGGAGGGGAGGAAATCATTAAATTCTTCGCCTCCCACCTAAGGAAACTTTGTTCCTTTAGGGAACATGACTGCCGATACAATGCCAGTCAGATCATTGATAAAGATTCTCACGGGAAAAGGAAAAAGATGAAAAAGGAGACAGAAACAGTTGTAAGATAATCCTCTTGGCTGCCAGAGATGAGACGATCGACAAGATGTCTATCAAAATCTAAAACGGGGCTATATATGGAGAAGTTGGTGGCTTAGGAATCAGATCATTCAGTGGTCAGGTCTTGGACGGAGTGAGATTTCGTGTATTCATAGAGTTCGTGAAGAGCGAAAAGGGTAAGAATCTTCTTGTTCTTGAGGGCTATCTGCTCACACAGAACAAGATCAGCAAGAACCGACGAAGAACGTATTGGGAGTGCCTCTATAGAAGATACAAAGGAAACTGCAATTTAGAGCTACAACTGAGGGAGTGCAGGTTGTCAGCAGGCGAGGGCAACATCATCATGCTCCAGAACCTGGAAAATTACAAGCCCGCAAGGTGATCGCAAACATCGTGAATGATGCCAAGAGCACGCAGCAGAAGACAGGTTAGTGCAATAACATAGTGCATGTGTATTATTATTTCATTTCCATTCCCGAACACATTATCCTGCATTTTCAAAGGAATCAATCACGCAGTGTCGAGGTCACAAGTGTATAACCATTTAATAATTTTTATAAAGAAAAATTCGCAATTCAATGTCTCTTTCACAAATACTTCCGTATCGACACCCCAGGGAGCGTATGAGATTAATATGAAGATAAAATATTTTACATTTCTATTGTACATTTCGAGTATGCTTTCATATTACTTGCCAGGATCCGTTTATTGGAAGGATTCCTTGCATATGAAACTTTAGTTTTATCATACGACTAGAAGCCTTAAAGCAAGCCGATGGCAAAAACTGATTGCTCTTATTGCATCATTCCAGGACAGATTCTACAGGCGAATTTGATGGGACTGAATACCGAGGCCCAAGAAGCCCTTCCAGATGCAAATTTACTCGCACGACAGGTGCGACATCATCGGGAGGAGAACGTGCCCAACAAGAGCTCAGATTGTGATTCCGACTGCGTACGAAAACCATCTCTGCAGCGCCACAACGCTTCTTATTGTGGGACAGCCAAGATGCCGACCGGATACTCATGTTTTCAACGACTGAGAACTTGCGGCTCTTATCTGCATGCCAAGATTGGTACATGGATGACACTTTCAAGACGACTCCAAGGCAATATATGCAGATGTACAGCATCCACGGGCGTTTTCATGGAGAAATCATTCCACTTGTATACGAGGTACACTCTTCTACCAGGTTAAGATGAGCGACTGTACACCAGGATGCTGGAGCACCTTCATTTTCAGCATGGAATTGCTGCACCCCAGAGTGTTACAACTGATTTTGAGAAGGCTGCTCAGAATGCCCTGGAGCGCGTGTTTCCAGGTGTGCAGTTGCACGGTTGTCATTTCCATCTCGCGCAAAGCGTAAGGAGAAAGATTCAGGTCTGAAGCCACGTTATGAAAATGATCCTGAATTTCGCCTACAAATGAAGTCCCTTCCTGCACTCAGCTTTGTGCCACCAGCAAAGGTGGAAGATGCATTCAACGACCTTGTAGCAACCATGCCAAACGCAGGCACTGCATGTACTGAGCTACTTTGAAGATAATTATATCGGAAGGGTGATGAGAGGGAACCGTCGGATACCACCTCTGTTCGAACCAGGTCTCTGGAACAACTACAATCGTGTCCTGCAGGACCTTCCACGTACAACAAATGCCGTGGAAGGCTTCCATTCCAGTTTCCTAAAAGACTGTGACGGACTACACCTGAATTTCTTCACCTACCGAGACAGACAATTCCGAAGAGACACAGCCTGTGGTAGCGGATGATATTCGTTACCGGATGCGGCATCGGTACGCGTTAGAAACCCCGCACGAAGGAAGACCTTGGCGGCAGAATGAGCTTCATCCACCGAACAGGGTTCGATCGTAGAACATCTTGCATCGGAATCAAAACTTTGACCTGTCTTTTGCCGATCTCTACGCGGACGGAAACACCTTCGTTGAATCGGTCCGGTTTTTACTCTCCGGCCTGAAAGAAACACCGACGAGAAGAGGACTGGCAGGGAATCCCCTCCCTTTCGGCATATTCACTGGACACTCTCGAGGTTTCACTCGCTGGGTTTCGCCCACTTCACGTTCGCTCGAGATCGAACCGGGACCGGAAGCATCACGCGTCTGGAATATCTTCCTCCGAACGGCCAAACGATGGACCTTTCGAGAGGACGAGGTCGAGCCGAAGACACAAACAGATTCTTCTTATCGTCAGAACGAACGGCTGTCGAGACGGACTATTCCACTCGCACGGGAAACAACCTCTCGACGCGGGTTGCGTAGACCGAGGAACTCGTTGGAGGTCAGCGGCCCATCTCTCCCTCCCCACTGGGAGAGGCCTGGGACACGAGGCACCCATTCAGACCGCGGAAAGGTGCGATACGATTACGAGCTTAACGATCGCTTCAGAGTGCGGTTTAAAACCGCTTTAAAACGGCTCTTTTATTCCGTCTCCTCCTACCGTCGACGTCGGTCTTAGGGATAAGCAAATGGATTGCACCGATGCGATAGCGATGCGTCACTGCTTCTTCTCCAAGCTCTTCACCTTTGTCGCTTGATATCCCACTTAAGTATCCCATGTGGTCTAGTGGCTAGGATACCTGGCTTTCACCCAGGAGGCCCGGGTTCGATTCCCGGCATGGGAACGCGTTTTTTCTGTTAGCTGGGGGTCTTCTGGTTTTAAAGGTGTCCGGTCAATTCCCCGACAGGACAGTTCCCCGAATGACAAATTCCCCGAACGGTCGGTTCCCCGATCACGTTCCGATTTCACGGTTGCGGAAGGAGGGCTATCGACCGCATCCATCTCCTTCATGTCTAGGGGTCGATTTATAGTTCACGCCCTTGTTTGTTTCTGAAGATGTACAATGACAAATAACAGAACAACCCTACTAGATAAAAGTTATATTTTGGTTTAATAGTGAAAGGTCTACAAATGAAATGTTTCCTCTTCCTAGAAACTCATATTATAGGCAACACTACGCATCAACTATTGTAGGTCGTCTGCAGTTGAGTTTTTATGGCCACTGTGTTTTGGGACGGCGAGGGACTACTGCTGCTTGAGTTCATGCCAGACAAGTGTACAATCACTGGCGATTCCTATGCTACCACCATGAAAAATTTACATGATGCCATCGAGGAAAAACGCAGAGGAAAGTTGTCAAGGGGGGGTCCTTCTTCTCCATGACAATGCGCCCGTCCACAAATCATGGAAAGTTCAGGCAGCAGTGAGGGAGTGTGGCTTTCAGGAGCTCAACCATCCTCCCTACAGCCCGGATCTGGCTCCTAGTGACTATTTTCCGTTCAGACACTTGAAAAAATTTTTGCGGGGTAAAACATTTTCATGCAATGAAGAGCCGAATGTTGCCGTTTCTGATTGGTTTGATTGATAAGAAGTTGACTTCTATTCCCAGGGAATAAAGTCCTTGGAATCAAAGTGGAATAAGTGTGTTGAGTTAAAAGATGACTACATTGAAAAATAAAGTGTTATTTTTCCCCTCGGATGTTTCTTTTTTATTCAGGTAGATAACTTATTGAGTGACCCTCGTACCTCTTCAGAGACAAACAAGGGCGTGAACTATATAAATCGACTCCTAGACATGAAGGAGATGGATGGGGTCGATAGCCCTACTTCCGCAACCGTGAGATCGGAACGTGATCGGGGAACTGACCGTTCGGGGAATTTGTCATTCGGTGAACTGTCTCGTCGAGGAAATAACCATTCGGGGAATTGACCGGACACCGGTTTCCAGACACGTCGTCGCACCTTAGCCCTGAGACACCTTCCCATGACTACGACATCAGCTCTACCAGGGTTTGCACTTTGCCCTGGTGTTGGGAGGATCTCACCTCGGTGGGCGGGAGTCATGTGTTGGTCCACCACATGACAGCGGGACACACCATACAAAAGGAAAAAAAAACTTCCAAGAGCGCAACAGTTGACCTTCCGCTCTCTTCGAGCAGCGACAAGGAGATTGTAACTTTCTGATGACGGTTGACCTCAGCCCTAATTACGATATAGGGCTATTGGGAACAGTTGACCTTACCCTCTCCTTGACCAGCGAGGTCGATCATATTCATGTTATCCAATTGTGGAACGTATAGTGTAAATTAGGTAGCCAGAGGAAGCCAGAGTGGAGAATGTGGGTGGGACTAATTATAATGTGGCAATTATTACTGTGGCATTGAGGTGGGTTGAGGGTGAATGCATTCGTAAAAGGTTGGCTTATGGGTGGCACAGTTGCTGTCCATACGTGGCTATGGGATGGTCAGAGAAGGTTGGCCCGAAAGTCGGCCGACCCAGACATGACCAACCATAGCCAACCATAAACCCCACCCCCCCATAAGCCAACGATGACCTGCTGATGGCCCGTAGATGGTGTATGGAAGGGCCGCCATTGAGCTTTAGTTGGGCCAACCACAAATTTTTGACTGGGTTGTCTCGCGATGCTGAGTGCTTGAACCATTTCCGACGGAGATTTTCCAGCCAAATGCAAATTTATGATTCCGTACCTCTGGAATTGGCGACCTATAATTACGAAAGATAGAGGCGTGATTTTTTTAAACTGAAGGTGGCTAAGCGTTCACGTAAATTTTAAATTTTCAAAAATAAAATTTTAATAAATCGTACCATCTGTCACCAAACTTTTGCCGCACCCTGTTGTTATAGTAAGAGAACACTTCCAGGTATTCCTATAGTTTTTTTTAGCCGTAGAGCAAATGAAGCATTATCCCTGTGCATTAGTCATGATAAGTGATTTGATTGCATTTTCCTGAGGTATCGGGACTCAAAAAACCACCGATACCTTCAGTGGTTGGAACTTGATGTTGCACAGGTGGAACCGTGACGCTAACTTCTCGTTGTATTATTGTTTCATAAGTATACTCATGAAACAGCCACTACACTCTAAAAACGTTTTGTCACTAGACAACCACCCGACACTCTAAAACACTAACTCCAGTTTCACTTCTTTATTTCTCTTATGATAGTGAAAAAGGGAAAGTTCACTCTGATGTTTTCCTCTTTTTGCTCTTCTAGTGTAAAAAATGGAGGGAAAATGAACAAAAAGAGAGTGAAACTATAGTAAGCACTCACTTTTTTCTGAAACCATGAAATTAGGGTGAGAATGTTAACCTAGGGTTGATTTCAAAAGGGCAGTTCGGTTGCAGTTCCAGTTCTGTTGCTGTTACAGTTGGGTTTTCGTTCGAGAATAGTCGAAATGTGCCATATGAACCCAAGTCACGCTGCAGTTGCGAAAGTCTGTGTTGACGTCCCGTCCAAACTTAGTCAGACTTCAGTCTGACTAGGAGTGTGACTATGGTTCCAACAAGGGCTGTCACGATAGCAGTTTTCAAAACATCAATGCATCGACCTGAACTATCGATAGTTTATCGATGCATCGGGGGGTGGGGGGGGGCCGCTTTGGCGGATTCAATCTTTTCTCGCTGCGATTGGGCGTAAGTTTGTCTTCCATCGTTTCTTGGTTCGATCGGAGCGTGGACCCTTATCTGCCTTCAATAATCTCACGCTCGTGATCGGGGGTGCGGGGGGAATGTGTGACCTTCGCAAGGAGTAATGAAACCTACCATGCCTCCAATTATCGAAGATGACATCCATTCATCGATGGATGCATCAGTACAGCCCTAACTTTTTCTTATTGCCATTTAGAATCAGTTTTCAAGCCCGTTCACGTAAATTTTTTTTCTCTTTTTCTTCGTTCTACAAGGTCTTCTTTGGACATCGACACCGGCAGATAGCAAACCTGGCGATGGTGCCAAACCGGCGGTTGCGAAATCATCGGTACAGCCAACAAAAAGCAACGTCCATGTACGAAATTCACTTTGAGTAAAGATAAAATGCCCCAGGGAGAGATGACAAATTTTTTAAAGGTAAGCTTGTAGGGTCTGTCCACGGTGTCGGATGTGACATCCGGAGTAATATTTTTAGGAAACAAAATATATTTAACTATACTAGTAGGTAGCCCGTGCAAAAGCACGGGATAATTTGAAGGCAGCGTATGCAAATATGGCCATAGGGGGCAACCTCCCCCCACCCCCTGGATCCGCCACTGGCTGGCCGTCTGAGAACACAGGACGCGGCAAAAGCACCCCCAATTTCCCGGTCTGCCCCTGCGCTTCGTTAATCGTCATTGCTAAGGACAGGAAACCGACGCCGAGCGAAGACGAAGGGCAACCCAAAGATCAAGGCGTTACCTTAAATCGTTGCCTCGTAGTACAATGTGATATGTGGGCTTTTATTGGCGGCCTCACGCTACTCACATCGCAACCTGCCGCGCAAGTTTACGAACATTAATGGTCTCATGCCACGTTGCGTGTACCATGGCTATGGGAGAGCCACTGAGCTAAGAAAAAATTGGAGATGGCGCACCCATAGAAACGGTATAGGCATGCGCACTGCAATTGGAAGCCATACTTGCTGGGCTCATGATCCCGAGTCACCATTCACTCCAATGGGATTTTCCCCGATTTTTCAACACAACTTTCCTCTAAATACTAACTCAAAGGAAAAGAGCCCCGACACAGTAGGCATAATATGTTCTCAGAGGAACCAGTGGGTCCTATTGAGTCGTTCCAAGAGTTCTTTTTGTTATGCATATGGGTCCAATGCTTAAGTTTAGTTTAATGGCAGAAAAGGGCGATTGGGAATAGGTCTTAGCAAAAATGCCGGCGATTCAAGTGCGAAGTGAGTAATAGAGTTTAAAACGGGCCTGCGGTGCACAGAGGCGGAGTAAAGGAGCAGATACCGCGGGATAATTGGA